AATGACAACTGCAACAAAAAATAGCCGGACGTTGTGGCTGGCGCCTATTGTCCTAGCTACTTGGGAGGCTGAGGCAAGAAAATTGCTTAAGCTCAAGAGTTTGAGGTTGCTGTGAGCTGTGACACCATGGCACTCTCACTCTACTGAGGGCAACATAGACTCTGTCTCAAAAAAAAAAAAAAGAAAAGTATATTAAAGTGATACAGTATACCTTACTTGTATCTGTCAGACACTCATTTTCATGGAATCCATCCTTTCTTCTTCTCCTCTTCTCATTTTGTGTAGAGCTAAGACCTCTCCCATAATAACCCCATGGTAAAATGTGTTTTCATTTCAGAGGCCTTTGACATTCAGGGATGTGGCCATAGAATTCTCTCAGGAGGAGTGGGAGTGCCTGGACCCTGCTCAGAGGGCTTTGTACACGGACGTGATGTTGGAGAACTACAGGAACCTGGTCTCCCTGGGTGAGGATAATGTGGCTGTCACTGCTAGGATTTTCCCTTGAGAATCTTTGTATTTACCCTGATGGTCTCTTGGGACCTCCACATTGCTTGACTGCGATTGAAGCTGTACTAAGTCAGAAATGAAAAGCTGGGCTTAGTGCAGTTGTCTCATGCCTGTCCTCCTTGCAATCTGTGAGGCCAAGGTGAGAGGATTGCTTTAGCTCAGCAGTTTAAGACCAACCTGAGCAAAAGTGAGACCCTTTGACACTAAACATAGAAAAGCTAGCCAGATGTTGTGGCAGGTGCCTGTAGCCCTAGCTATTAGGGAGACTGAGGTAGAAGGATCAGTTGAACCCAGGATTTTGAAGCTGCTATGAACTAGGTTGAGGCCAGGACACACTAGCCTGGGCAACAGAGTGAGACCCTGTCTCATAATAAAAAAAAAAGTAATGACAAGGTTCATAATGTGCCATCTGGACCTTACCTGTCCTCTGTGTTTAGATGTTCTGCCCCCTTCATAATCTCTTAGTGGTGGTTTCACAAGTGATGTACACATGAAACCTCATGGCAAACTTTAAAATATCCAATTGCTTATTTTATCACCTCTGCTTTTTATCCAATAATTGGGGGATAGGGATGGGACATCTGCATCCTATAGTGTTTTTAAACACTGAGTGGATAAATTTGTGAAATACTGACCACCTATAATGTCCTCTCTTCTACCTGAACATGGGCTTGGGATTCTGGGAAAGCTCTAGCACATCATGTTCCTTTCTTTTCATGAGCAGGAATCTCTCTTTGTCACCCAAGTGTTTTCTCCATGTTGGAACAAGAGAATGAGCCCTGGACTCTGGAGAATAAAGTGAAAACAGCAAGAAACCCAGGTGTGGGGGAATGGATGCAAGGTGCGATTTCAGGTGAGAGATCAGGTGGGCACAGCGGAAGCAGCACCATTCCCCAGTGTGTGGGAAAGTCTGCAGGTGAGAGCA